TGTACTTTTAGGGAATTCTCAGATATTCTCTGGGCATTCCCGGGAATTCTTAGGTACTCCCGGGAATTTTAGGTATTGCCGGAAATTCCCAGGCATTCCCGAGAATTTATTTATTTATTTATTACAATGTTCTACAGGCAATCCCAATTACAGAGCAGGAATAAAAGAACACATACATTATATAGGCTAAGTGGTACAAAATATACAAAAATTTGTAAACAGCTAGTAGGTAAAATATAATACAATACATTTTTTTTTTAATGTTAAGAAATTACATTTTATTTCCCTAAGTTTGCATGAGAAGATATCAATGTCACTACTCACACTATTCACAACGCGGCTAATAGTATGAAATGGAGAATTTTTCAGAACATTTGTGCGAGGTACAGATATGTGAAATATGTCAGAATTTCTAGAGGATACTCTCGGAATGCAGATATCAATTTTTCTCAACAGTTCAGGAGAATCAATTAAACCGTTAACAATTTTGAAAACTAACACATAACCACAGATTAACCACAACAGATGCGAAACCCGGCAAAAGATCAAAGGATTTTGAAATGAGATTTCTATGACCTTGGACCTTTAAATGGGTATGGATGGCATAGGTGTTGCCAATTTTAATTATTTTCAATCAGTCTTACTAAATATGATTTTTTTCTAAACATGCTTTTTGGATGCCAGGGTTGGTTTAGGTAACTAATGTATAGTAGCAGCATTAGTATGTTAAAAAAGTTATCGATAGGAGTTTCATTTTTAAACATTTTAATAGAAAAAGAATATGATTTGTATTAATATTTTCAAAATTTTATTATAGGTAAAAAGTTATAACAAGCAACGAATTATAATGTAAAGGTTTTAAAACTTTATTAAGCGGGCTTTGTTAGACATAAAATTAAGTTAAAGACCTTTTTAATGTGTTGAAATAAATATATTGGCAATTAATGGCCTATTGATGGAAAGTTAACGGGAAATTGCAGGCCTTTTATCAAATTAATACTGACTGCTAATAAAGGCCATGTGCCAGGTACAATTCGATAGTGCCTCTTTGACCAGCAGTACTGTTTGAAGTATATAAAACCGAATGCATTCCAATATACCTAGAATATTGTAGACATTTTATTTAATTCAGCTATATAATATATAATAAAGATAAAATGTCTTCTAAAAAATGTATTTTCATAAAATAATCTAAATTAATAACATGTATGAGCAACAAATTACAATGAATAGTGAGTACCATCAATCCCAAACTGGTCTCATGTCCACTCGTTGAGTATGTAGCAAGTGATCATCGGTGTCTTCATCTATGAACGCGGGACGGAACCCTCCTGGACTGTTGGAGGGTTGGGTCTGCGGCAGTTAAAAGCCTTTTGACTTTTACCTGGCTCTCACCCATTCATCAACCAACATAATGCTGGGCCACTATTAAAAGGACAAAAGTATTCTTTTATTTTTTAATCCTCGCATTCATTTTTGCTTCAATTACAGCAAAAGACCAGCAATATCCCGGCAATTAATTGTTTGTTGGGATACAATATAAACTCATCACTAACAAGTATACCAATACAACTTTTTTAAATAAATGAGGTTTGAATACTTATTGCATACAATCCTATTAGCAGGAAATTACAATTCTATCGCATGCAGCCACAAACCTAATAAAACAAATATTAAACAAATAGTTTGGTAGGTTGATACTTCTGAACTGAAAATGCAAAATAGAACATTTATTCATGAATATTCATTAAATTTGGTTTTAGTTTTATATTTATCAAATTCTTCATGAATTAATTAATTAATGAAGAATCAGATCTAAAGCACTCAATAAAACATTACTTAAAATACATACCTTTCTTTTTTTTTGCTGATTTCTGAAATATATGTTGTTGAATTTTATTAGGTAAAATAATCGAAGACGAATAAATATATTTAAAAAGTAGTCATTAGAAAAATGTTGACAAGGGTGTTTAAATCCTTGAACTGTATTAACCTTCAACTGGCATGCTCATCCTGAGTAACATACCTGGACTCGTGGGGTACGTACGAACCCCAGTGATAAAAATCTTTGTAAAAATTGAAATATTGATTATTTTGTCTCAAAAAAATTTAGAGATCCTCTTTAGATACCACTTTAAACTCTAGAATAGTTCGAATTGAAAAAAGATCAACGTTCGTAAAAAATCCGAAAAATTTAAAAGCTTGAAAAAATGCGTTTTTAACAAAAAAAAAACTTTTTGTTTTTCGATAGAAAGGGCTGAAATTTTAGCTGTATTCTTCTGTTACATCACTATAAAAGAATAATAATTGTTTTCATGGGTCTTTAAAAAGTATTTATTTTGAGAGCGCTATCCCACTGGCCTAGGTATAAAAGTATATCCCTTGACTACCGATAGATGTCGTTACGAGTTTCGATTTCGAAGATTTAGATATCGAAAATCGACGAGAAAGAGCGTGAGGTATGTACGTACCCCACGAGGCCAGGTGTAGGTTAAACAAATTATACAAATTATTTCCAAGTGTGGGACAAGGTAAGTAATTTTCCATATTTTTTAAAAACTGCAATATTCCAACTGATAAATGTACTCATAAAAACATTCGGTTGGTGTTTTTAGACTTCCAAATAATGATTTGATATCATAACCTTTCAAATGTATAAAAATATTGTTGCTATCTAAAACGAAAGTTGCAGTAGAGAAGTGTTCATACATTTACAGCTATGAATTCGAAGACATTTTATAAGTGCCCAAATGCCACCACGACGTATATTCTTCGTTTCACTCATGATTTATCTACAGAAGAAGACTTAGACACAAATACACAATATTTTTGTCCAAAAATGCACACAACGCAAAGCGTCACGACCGGTCCTGATTGTCCTGAAACCGGTCCTGATTGTCACAGAAATGTCATCTTACTTACAGCATCCTAAGCAAGGTTGTCACATAAAAAATTAAAATTTCACGAGTTTTTTAAAGTGTCATTGATTGTCATTGATAAATGTAAACTATAAACCTTTAAATGGTTTTGTATTATTTTTGTTTAGCGGATTTTAATTATACGTTATTTGTATGTAACGTCTGGGGTAAACCACATACTAAAAAATCAAAGTATGTGGGGGTAACTAAAAAATGTATGTACATTTTCATTTGACTTAAATTCCATTGTCACATAACATCAGAAAATTTAGGAGCATCGGCAACTTTGCATAATGAAATAATTTTTGCCTTCGGAACTACGCGAGTGGAAACGAGTTGCTACGAGGGACCTTTAAATGGGTATGGCCATTTGTCTCTCTCTTAATTTTGATGTTCTTTGTCAACTTTCGCATCTGGGTAATCTGTGACATAACAATGGTATTCACGTCTTTTTATGAGGCTTAAAAAGTGATATCTTTGAAGAAGATTTTGGTTTGGTATTCCGATTGGCGGATAAACACCGTCCTCCTTTAAACACAGTAATTTTAGAAAATTCTAAATTATTCCTGGGAATTCCCAGGTATTCTTTGGCAACTCTCTATAAAAATTGTGCTCTAAATAACCCTCATAAAGGACAAAAAGAAGGTGCAAAATAAAGTTTTTGGAAAAATTAATAACAGTACAAGAATTTTATTTAAAAAAAGTATATTCTAAAAATATTTTAACTTTAAAAAACTTCAAAAGTCTAAATTATTGTTGATTAAAAATTTATTTTCATTTTAAAAAAATATTCCCTTCTAAAATTATGGGTTACATATTTATTAAATTAAAACATAGCCTCTGTAAGAAAATATTTGAAAACTTATCAAAATATAACTTTTTTAAGCACCCTGTATATTATTGCGTTAGGTCATTTGTTAACGAAATTACAAATATTAGTTTAAAATTAGGCGTTAAATATAGGGCAGGTATATAATTACCTACAGTGTGTCAAATTAAATTGGCTACATATATAGAAAAGTTTATGCCAAAATGTTATTTTTGATTGTTGATATAATTTGGTGCATATACAGACAGGGATTTTTGAACATTGTCAATTATAATTAAAATTGTTTAGAACTGAACAATACCTGAAATATATTATCCAAGAATGCAATCACAGCCGACTGTATACAATCGAACTGGAGGAAGGAGTACAATATGCAACCTGGAAAAAGCTAGTTAATTTGTTTGGAACAAATAATAGATTTACTTACGAAGAGGTTCTTAAAAGATGGGACTTCTTAGAAACAGAAGGAAGGAAACACAGAATTACAACAATTGGATTTTCCTTAGATGGTGATAGCCGCTTATTAAAAGCCATGCGAATTAAGTCAAATTTCCAAAAGAGTGATTAACAATCTTGTGAAACATGGGACTGGTTTCACATGGCTCTTAATGGCCACTGTT